CGGCGGCGCGACGGGCCAGCGCGATGCGGGGCCTGGCCGCGTCCAATGACTTCGTCGCGCGCAACGCCGCGATCTGAGGACGCCTGCGCAATGCACAGAGCATTGGCGAACGCAATGAGAAAGCCGGCACGGCTGGGGCCTTGCTCGCGAGAGAAAAGTGTTCGCGGATGCAGAGGCGGCGGAGTAGGATGGAGAAGAAGGAGGAGAAGTGGGGAAGAGGGGGAGATCGGAGGAGCGAAACGGAGCCTGCACTTCTGCTCAGTTTTTCAGGGGGGCGGGGACACGGCAGAGCCCATATATATATATATATATATATATATGTGTGTAGACATACGTAACACCCGCAGATGGGGATAAGAGTGCGGGGGCGGTGGGGACGTCGGCAGTTTGCGAGACTCTGGAGAAGCCCGCCGCAGGCGCCACATTTTTCACAAATGATTGATACAACGAGCCCGCCGCAGGCGCATATTTTTTCGTTAAACAATGTAGGTAAGTTGCGGGTGGCTCGCCAATGGGTCGCGGGTGGGTCATTGTTGGGTCGCGGGTGGGTCGCGGGTGTAGAGGGCAGAAAATCCACCCCATAATCATCACCTCGACAAGCGAAGCCGTTTAGTAAACGCGCACGAGGAATACATCGAACAAGGCAAGGCTGTTTAGTCAACGCCCAGGGACTTTTAGCAAACGTCAATTGTCGGGTCCGGGTGGTTTTTCCTCCCTTGAGGGTGGGTCGCGGGTGGGTCGCGGGTGGGCCGCGGGTGGGTCGCGGGGTGTGGTTGCGGGTGGGGTGGTGTTGAGTCGCTGGTGGGTCCAAGGGTGGGTCGCGGGGTGGGTCGCGGGGTGGGTCGCGGAGTGGGTCGCAGGTGTGTGGCGGGTGGGGCGACGACAACAAACAACAACAACAACAACAACAACAACAACAATCATTTTACCCGAACGCGTGGTGTTCTCCCCAGTGCCAGGGTTTTCATACGACACCAGGCAATACCCCCACTTCGTGGGGGGGCATTACAAGCTCTACCAAATATCCAAACGACTCTTCGCGACCACCCAAACCCAGCTTCCCGCCCTATGACGTTGGGACACTTCACTTCGTGGCGTGCGGACGACCGTGGCTACTACACTGGCGTGGGGTACACACCCACAGAACCCAATGGTTTTTGGAGATTTCGGCGTGCGCGCGCGAAGAAAAAACGAATGTGTCCCGCATGGTATTATTTGACAGGGATGATGGCCCTGGCAGGTGCGCAACCGTTGTCGCAGAAGTTCGAAAAAGTTGCTCGCAAAAGCCCGTTTGACAGAAATGTTTAAAAAGTGTTGGGTTTCCTACGAATCCGCAAGAGCGCGCGGGATGAGATTTTGACATTTTTTTGTTGAAAAACCATTGGTTTTTTGATGTTTTTATGTTGAAATCGCTCCGAACACTAAGCTTTTGGAAGGATTTCGTCTTGCGCGCGCGAATGTCCACTTTACCTTATTTTTTGCAAGGGATTCTTGAAATTTGATTATATTTGAACAAGAAATTTCATTTTATAGTGTTTTTTGCAAGGGAAAACGGATTACAACAAAACAACCGGATCTTGATCACCTCGAATTACCTGAGGCTTCCTCACGAAAATGATGAAAACGTGGCTGCGGCCTAGGCGCGGCGGGGGGGGCGCGCACCAGGGGGCCCAACAATAATTATTCTTTAGAATTAATAATGTTCAACAACAACAACAACAACAACACCAACACCAACACCAACACCAATAACAACAACAACAACAACAACAGCAGCACCAACACCAACACCAACACCAACACCAACACCAACACCAACACCAATAACAACAACGACAACAACAACAACACCAACACCAACACCAACACCAACACCAACACCAATAACAACACCAACACCAACACCAACACAAACATCAACACCAACACCAACAACAACGCAGCAAGCAAACTTCGCACCACAAATTCTTTATGCAGCCACGCACCCAGGGACAATGAATGACCGTTCGGCCCCCCATTACTTTGATATATATATATATACACATATGTGTGAGAGAAAGAGAGAGAGAGAGAGAGAGAGAGAGAGAGAGACAGAGACAGAGAGAGAGAGAGAGAGACAACACAACAAGAGAGAGAGAGAGAGAGAGAACCCGAGAGAGAGAGAGAGAGAGGGAGAGAGAGAGCGAGAGAGAGAGAGAGAAAGAGAGAGACAGGGAGACAGAGAGATACAGCGAGAAAGAGAGAGAGAGAGAGAGAGAGAGAAATAGAGATATACGTCTGCAGTATTTAATTGTTTTGCAGTTCGTTTCCCATTGTGACACAGCTTAAATCCCATTGGGGTGGAGCGGAACCCATGTTCAGCTGTTTCATTGGCTTGCGCTAGACCGCCGACCCCTTGGGGCGGCAGCGATCGTCCCCCGCGTGGCCTGTCCGGACAGCTTGCGAGGCCGCTCTAGACACGTTTTGGAATCCTCGTGGGACCGTCCTGCCGTTCCCCCCGGCCGTTGCTATGGTTTCTGGGGCCTTCGTGGGGCGCCCGGAGGCCGTCGTGGAGCCTTTTGGAGAGTCTCTTGGGGTGCCAGAGGTCGATCTTAGAGGTTTACTGGACCGTTGTGGGCCTCGTGGAAGCCCAGGAAGCGAATGTGCTGAAAGTGTACGTTTTCCCTAGGGAGTGGGACGTATTTTGCTTTTGGAGGCCTGCTTGGAGCGCCTCGTGGACGCGTATGCAAGCGTCTTGGACGTTTGGACCGAATCGCACCCCGCGCGGGCCGTCCGGACAGCCTTTGGGAGCCTTCTTGGCCCGTTTTGGAGCCCTTTTGGGACCGTCCTGCGGCTTTCCTGGGCCGTTGTTATGGTTTCTGGAGCCTCCGTGGATCGCCCCGAAGCCGTCTTGAAGCCCTCTTGGGGGCCTATTCGGGTGACGGGGGTCGATCTTGGAGATTTATTGGGCCGTTGTGGGCCTCGTGACAAGAAACGAATGTGCTGAAAATTTACGTTTTCCCTTGGGAGTGGGACGGTTTTTGCTTCTGGAGGCCTGCTTGCCTCGTGGTCGCGTTTTCAGACGTCTTGGACACCCATGGGGCCGTCTCGCGGCGATCTTGGGCGGTTTGGACCGAATCGTCCCCCGCGCGGGCCGTCGGGACAGCCTTTGGGGGCCCTCTTGCCTCGTTTTGGAGCCCTTTTGGGACCGTCCTGCGGTTTTCCTGGGTTGTTGCTCTGGTTTCTGGGGCCTTCGTGGATCGCCCGGACGCCGTCTTGGAGCCTTTTTGGGAGCCTCTTGGGCTGGCGCGGGTCGATCTTGGAGGTTTCTTGGGCCGTTTTGCGCCGCATGGAAGCCGATTGGGCGAATGTGGTGAATATGTACGCTTCCCCTACGAAAAGGAACGATTTTTGCTTCTGGAGGGCCTCTTTGGGGCGCCTCGTCATATTGTTTCAAACGTCTTGGGGATTTATGGAGCCGTGTGGAGGCAATCTTCGGCGTTTTGGGGTGATCGTTCGTCGATTCGTAGCTCTCTTGGACCGTTCCAGGAACCTTTAAAACCTTTTTGGCCCATTCTGGGGCCTCTCGAGGCTCCAAGTGTGCGGATGATGGATTTGCTCCCCCCCCCCCCCCTCCAGGCTGGCCGGACCAGGCCCCCGGGGGAGGGGTTTGGGGAGGGGGAAGCATTTCACACGCCGTGACCCCAAGGGGTCGGCGGATTTAAATTTGACTACTATCCGGATTTGATTGAATTGAATTAGCATTGAGCAGATCCCAGATCCAGTTGCCCCACGTTAGATTAGTATGGGGATCTATTTGGAATATAAGTGAGATGCTACCGATCCCAGACCAAACTGATTCCAAATAGTTTCTAATTGACACACTTAGAAACAAGTTAGACTTGGGCAGATCCCACATCCAGCCGGTTTCATGTACATGTCTGGTGGGGCCGAATTCGAATATATGTGGGATGGTGCAGATCCGACAACGAGGTGATTGCGTTTTTTTATATATAATTGAAATCAACATGACATGGAGAAGGTCACAGATCCACCTGATTACAACGTAATTCCGATTGCACCTTAAGTTGAATATAGTTGGAATTGGACACACACACACACCAGATGCAGCGGAGTCCAAGTGGGACTTCTATTGGGATCGCACCAGTATTTAGTTGGAACTGCGCAGGCCAGAAATCCAGCTGTTTCCGCATGTATTCCTCTTGGCATCGAATTAGCTTCTGATTGGCATTGAGCAGATCCCTTGTCCAGCTGATTCCAAGTGCATTCCTTGCATCAGCGAGTTAAGATCACATCGGCACGAAGCAGATCACAGATGCAGTTGTGCCTCATTGGGTTCCCCGTGGAATCGAATCGGAATATGATTCGAATTAGGCAGGTCACATACCTAGCTGTTTCCAATTCAGTTGGCTCTATCTGGAGCCCATTGGGACTGAATTCGGATTCCATTGAAATTAAGCACATCCCAGACCCAGTTGACTCCACTTGGATTCCTCTTGGAATTTGGTTTGACATGTATGAATTGAACACATCCCAGATGCAGCTGCGTCCAATTGGATTCCTATTGGGTCGAATTAGAATATGATTCGAACTGAGCAAATTCCATAGCCAGATGGTCCCAATCAAATTCTTGCTCAAAAAAGCAGGATATACATGACGAGCAGGACAAATGGATGAGCAGGCGCGGACGAAAAGACGATGGATGAGCAGTAAGAGTACGAGTGAAGAGCTCAAATATTGAGGCAACATGAATGGGTGCATTGGGTGGGTGCACATATACATATGTATACACATACATACATACATATACATGTGTGTTCGATGTACCCCTTTTGTTTGTCTCTCTCTCTCTCTCTCTGTGTTTCTCTTTATGGTTATCTCACGATCTCTCTCTCTCTCTCTTTCGCTTGCTTTCTCTCTCTTTGTTGTTTCTTTCTTTCTTTCTTTCTTTTTTCTCTCTCTCTCTCTCTATATGTCTTGTTCCTTCTCTCCGCGAGGAGGTGTGCGAGCAGACGTTTATGCGCTTTGAGAAGCGGATCTCTTACATCGAGGACTGGGCGGGCGTGGCTAAGCATGCACACATGGAGGAGGAGGTGATGGAGGAGGAGGCAGGATAAGGAGGTGGAGGAACACGGGCTCCAAGCGTGTGCAACATTACCCCAAACTCTGCACCACCATGCTGTAACGCACAGAAAAGGGTGGGGTTTTTGTTGCGCTTGTTGTTGATAATGATGGCCGCTTTGATGTGTTTGTCCAGCGCGCTCGGCTGCAACAGGCGCTGACAGATGCGGTACAAGCTCGGGCGGCACTCGCCTACGCCTGCACTCGCACATGGTGCTGACCACGGGCACGGGCCTCTTGGACGTGTGAAACAATTGCAGCGCCGCTCTCGAGCAACACCGTGGCTTGCTCCGATCATTCAAGAGTGGTGTGTATATACATCTGTATATATATATATATATACATATATGTATATATATATATATATATATATATATGTGTATACACATTTATGTGTGTGCACGGGCTGTGGGTGTGCCACTCGCACAACTCGCACCAGCGGGTGCACTGCAAAGCACTTGTCACGACAATTGTTCCCGAGTTTTCCTTGATCAATGGCCCGCCACGGTGCCGGCACGTCCTAAGGAGGAGGAGGAGGAGGCGGAGGAGGAGGAGGAGGAGGAGGCGGGAAGAATGGAGGCAGGAGGAGGAGGAGGAGAAGGAGGAGAATGCGGGGAAAAAAGGGGAGAAGGAGGACCACTGGCCCTCGTTGGCTGGCTCTGGGGGCGATCGGCAACCGTCCCGGGCTCCTGCAGATATGGTGGCCGCCGGCTTGGCAGCGGGGAGGCCCACCGTCGTGGGAGAGCTGCAGATGCGCACACGACTCCAAGCCGAGCCCCTCCCCGAAGGGCACGCACCGCCGGCAGGTGCGGGTGCACACCCGGACGGCGAGGCGGGCGGTCTGCCAGCAGGTGTCAAGAGAGGGCCCTGCGCCCGCGCAGCTGCTCCGGCAGCTGCTGCGGGAGCTGGGCAGCGAGCTGTCGTGTGGGAGGTTCGGCCCTTCTCCCTCCTGTCTCCACTCCTCAGGGTCCTCATGGTCCTCACGCTCGTCCTCCTCCTCCTCCTTCTCCTCTTCCTCCTCCTCCTCTTTCCCCTCCTCCTCCTCCTCCTCCTCCTCCTCCTCCTCCTCCTCCTCCTCCTCCTCCTCCTCCTCATCCTCCTCCTCCCCTCCTCCTCCTCCTCCTCCCTCTCCTCCCCCTCCTCCTCCTCCTCCTCCTCCTCCTCCTCTCCTCCTCGTCACCATCATTATCAGCATCATCATGATCATCAGGATCATCATCATCACCGACACACTTGTCTCACTCCTCCTCGTCCTCCCCCCCCTCGTCCCCCCTCCTCTGGTCACCCCATCCTCATTCTCATGGCGCCTCCCCTCCTGCCTCTGCTTCCCGTCCTTATCCGCCCTCTCCTCCTCGTCCCAATTCCTGCCCCCCAACATTCTTCTTCTCGAGCTCCCCCTCTTCCCTAATCCTCCCTACCATCGTCGCTCGAGCTGCTCTCCGAGGTTTCGGCTTAAGGCCCGAGGGTGGAATCGAGGCGTAGGGGTGGTACGAAAGCGATGACACGCTGGGCTCCTCCTCACCATCGTCATCCTCATTCTCATCCGCCTCATACACCCGCTTCCTGCCCCTCCCTCCCTCCCTCCCTCCCTCCCTCCTCTCCCTCCCTCTCCCTCCCTCCCTCATATGGGGAAGGGGGGAAGGTGCTGGGTTGAGTTGGGCTTGGCCTTCCTCCCTTCCTCTCCCTCCCTCCTCTCGGTCCTTGCTGGGTTGGATTTGGCCGGAGCCTCTCTTTCTCTTTCTCTCCCCCCTCCTTATGCTGCTGCTGCCCGGCACAGCGTCTCCTCCCGCACCATCTCTGCATGAGCCCCCAGCGTCCTCCAGCCTTTGGGGTCCACGGTTGGAATGGCGCGTCGGAGTTGGCTCGCTTGGGCCAGTCTGCCACTCCTGCTTCGCAGCCCCCCCGTCCGCTGCCGCTGCGACCTCAGGCCCTTGGATTCCTGGCGGCCCATTCCGATCTGAGCGCGCACGACACTGCCAATGGAGGCAGGCGGTGTCGCCCCCCTGGGTGAGCCTGGAGTGACGCGGGCCCGTGGGCGCAGGAGCAGCGGTGCATGCTCTGCCAGAGGCCCGTGCGAAGCCGAGACGTGCCACGCCCTCCGGAGCTGCGGGGCCACACGGCAGCTCCGAGCGGCCTCCTGGCTGGCCAGAGGGCGCGCGGCCCGCCCGACCCCCGGCCGTGATGCGCCCGTGCTCTGCTGAGTACGTCGCCGGGAGATCGGGGCTTCCCCGAGGTGATGGGGTTGGGGCCACTTGCGGGGCGCGGGCAGGCCCTCTTCTGGAGCCAGCTCTGCTCCCAGCCCTCCTCCCTCCCTGCCTCCCTCCTTTGCCTCCTCCCTCTCTGCCTCCCTCCTCCCTCCGTTGCCTCCTTTGCCTCCCTCGTTTGCCTCCCTCCTCCCTTCTTTGCCTCCTCCCTCCCTGCCTCCATCTCTCCAGGCTGGATGGACATGGCTGGGGCCGGGCGCGAGGCTCCACATCGGCGGCTGCGTGGCTGGTTGTGGAGCCTGCCTCGGGGCGGGGCTCCAGCTAGGCAGCCGCTGGCGGTGTCTGGGCCTCGGGAGCCCCAGAGGATGTTGCCATTTCTCCGGCTTCCCGCGGGTCCTGGGTCCTAGTCTGCGGTTTTGTCTCGTTGCCGATGCGGTCCCTTGTTCTCTTCCCCCCTCCCCTCCCTCCCTCCTTCCCTCCCCTCCCTTCGGCTTCGGCGCTCCGGTACCTTTGCCTCTGTCTCCCCACCTTCCCAGGGTGGGCTCCACGTCGGCGTCGGCGCTGCCGTTCCCGCTGTGCCCGGTTGCGGAGTCTGCTTCGGACCGGCGTCCGGCTTGGCAGCCGCTGGCTGTGCCTGGGAGTTTCGGTCTCGGGAGAGACCATTCAAAAACAACCGCGGGGATAATGGGCGTTCTGGGGGGAGGGAGGGCCTAACGTACCGCCCCGCCCCCCCCCTGTCGTGTTGGTCCGGCACCACAGGCTGCGGTGCCGGACGCATTGCAGCAGTGCCAGGGACGCGCTCCCTGGGGGGAGATCTAAGCCAATGGGGGGAGGAGGAGGAGGAGGAGGAGGAGGAGGAGGAGGAGGCATAACGCGTGTGCCCAAGAGAATGGATCGGCCGCTTCTCCGGCTTCCCTGCGGGTCCCAGGGTCCCAGGGCTGGGTCGGCAGGCTGGCCTCGCGGCTGGTGTGGTTCCTCGTTGCCCCAGCCCCTCCCTCCCTCCCTCCCTCCCTCCCTCCCAACCTCCTTCCCTCCCTCCCTACTTCCGTTCCCTCCCCTCCCTCCATCCTTCCCTCCCCCCTCCTTCCCTCCCTCCCTCCCTCCCCCTCCCTTCCTCCCTCCCTCCTTTCCCTCCATCCCTCCCTCCCCCTTCCTTTCCCTTCCTCCCTTCCCTCCCCCAGGAACTCGGGTGGCGGGGCTCGGTGGAGTTGGGACGGCTGGGTCTGGGTTGGGTCTGTGCTGGGCCTGGCGCAGAGCTCCGTCCAGCGATGAGCGGCCATCCGTGCCGTGGCCTGTTGGGCTCGGGGTCTCATCCTCTCTCTCTCTCTCTCTCTGTCGGGCTGGGATTCCTGCCGGAGGGCTGCGCTCGCCCCTTCCCCAGGAGGACCCCCTCCGTGCGTTTGCTCCCTGGGCTGTCGCGAGCTCGTCTCCACTGGGAGGCCAGGGCGCACGAGGCAGAGTGTCGGTCATGCAGCATGACCGTCCCAGCAGCTGGGAGGTCCTCCCAGCGGCTGGGAGGTCCGCCGTCCATCGATCGATCCTTGGCCTCCTCCTCCTCCTCCTCCTCCTTCTCGTCCTCCCTCGCCGTCTCCCCCCACCATGTTTCCTCGTACTCCTCACCCATCACCCTCGACCTCGACCTCCTCATGTTCCTCATCTACCCCCTCCCCATCATTGTGCGGCCGCTCTCTTCCGCCTCATATTATTGTTGTTTCTCTTCCTCCTCTTCCTCCTCCTCCTCTTTCTGTGCTTCCTCCGCCTCCTCTTCATCATCATCTTCATCATGTTCCTCCTCCTCCTCCTCTTCCGTATCCGTCTCGGCTCAAGATGCCAGGTTTTTCCTCGGGACCACGTTTGTACCTTTAGTCCGATGCTAGACCCAAGGGTTACATCCTCACGATCCTCTCAGGGAGCTGCCCAGTATTCCCTCTCCCAGGTATTCTTCTATTCTTCGGTGCAGGGGCCAGCACCTCTCGTCGATGGGTATGCCTGATGCCGTTCCCGTCGCCCGTCTGGCCGAAGGTATCGAAGATACCCCTACTCTCCCAGATGGTGAAATGACCCCAAACCGAAGAGGCAAGGGCAGCGCGGGCAGTGGCAAAGGTTCTGCCAGTTCGGCGCCCCTGGTCGGCTCGTCGTCCTCGGGCTCTTTGCATGTATCGGGTGCTGCATGATTTGCCATTCCACGCACCGCCATGCCCCAATCAGTAGCCAGATGATCACATCAAAACGATATTTGCGAATGGCATTGCCACTAAGTTCACCGCTCTCCGTTCCGAGTTCGAGGGCTTGGTCAGCCCCGCAGTGCGTGAGACCGTCAAGTCAAGCAACCCCAACATCCTCGCCACTTTCGACGCCCTGCGCAAGCAGATCGAAGCCCAGCCTGTAGAGATGGACCCGCACGCCATGCGTGTCGTTCGTCCGCAGATTGACCCCCAGGATCAGAAAGCTGCAGCGGCAGTTCAATGATATGTTTGGCAAGTTGGCGTCGATGTCCTAAGAGGTGTATCCCCACACGGTGCAGATTCGTTTCGTATGATTCAGGCGGGTGTGGCTGATTTGCGGAAAGGTTTGCCGATGGCCAAAGAACAGGAGAAGGCACCGTCTCCGCCCGTTTCGTGAGGGAGGGAGAGAGAGAGAGAGAGAGAAAGATCGAACCATCAGTTGGTGTCGTTATGTCATCCAGCATGTTTGGCCTCCCTGAAGTTCGCGAGTCGGTTTCTCGTGTCATG